AACAATTTTAAGGAATGATAATGATTTAAATCGTTTTCTATATGGTACATTTTTTAATGTTACAAATTGTATAACAAAAACATAATCACTACCATCTTGTGTTGATAATTGTTGTTCAACGTTCAAAAATTCTGTTGTTTGTAAAAAATATAATCGACAATCATTCAATTTATAAATTGGATTGTAATCATTCATTTCATATATCTCTTTAATATCAAAGATTTGTTGATTTTCCATTTTGATTTATTGAATTAGCAAAAAAAAAAAGATTCGATAAATATGATCGTGATAAGCGAAAATCTGTTAGTAATGGAATATTAACAAAAATCGTGATAGTATTGGTAAAAGTAATTTGATCCAAATGAAAATATTACCGAATTTATACAGAATTAAAAATTAGTAATTTGATTTTGGAAATTGTTGTAAAACATTAATTGAAAAATTTTATTGCATATTAAAATATAAAATATATTTATAAAAAAAATTATTTAAAAACCATCAATTTCACATTTTATTGTTATCATCACCAGATTCATGATTCAAAGGTTCTGGAGGCTTAACTTCTCCATCTGATGAAATATTATCCTTTTTTGATTCAAAATTATCATTATCATTATTGTTTTGTTGATCAAAAACAATATCCTCGCCATTCCAAATAAAAATTTCAGATCCAATTTTTTGTTCATCATCATTATCGATGATTGAATTTGTACGTGGCAATTCCGGTTCAATATTCCATAGTTGTGGAAGTGGTGCATGTGGTCTTGGTGGACGTTCAGGTGTTGGAAAAGTTCTAGATTTTTGGTGTTGATCCATTGTTTTTGTTTTGTGAGGAAGGTTACAAAATAATCGAATTCGATATTCTGTTAGAGTGTAATTGAAATGAATGAAGAATCCATTGCTAAATTTATATGTGGGGAAAAAAAATCTAACACATTCATTATTTTGAATGTAAATTATGATTGAAAACAATTTAGTTTTTGGGTAGTGTTTTAAATTAATTTATTTACAAAATTAAAAACAAAGATTACGATAAATAAATAGAAAATACACAATTTAAAATGTGTAGTACAAAATTATTTAATCTGCGAAACTCGATTTCTGACTGGACATGATTTGTATCCAATAAATATCAATTTCCAAAGGGTAGGAGAATCTTCGATTATTCAGGCTTTGTTCAATTTATTCTTTCAAATAGATTCTTGAATTTGATCTTGAATTGATATGCAAATCAATTCTTGTTGTTAATACGAATTAAGACAAGACCAACCAGAATTCAAAATGATTATTTTCAGAAGTGATACTACCGTAAAAAATTGCTGTTAAAAATCGAAAAAGATCAAGATCTTGTCTTTGAAACAATTTCGAAATGAATGAAAAACATTTTTCAATTTCTTTTTTTTCGACTGAAAAAAGAAATTCGAATTTNAGACCCGTCATATAAAACGTGACAAAATTTGATATTTGATAAGATAAGATGAAAAAAAAATCATAAAGGTTAAATAGAAAACATAATTTTTTATTAATATGGAATTCAAACATTTAACATAAAATTAAATAATTACAAATACAATTTACAAATGAATACAATTTACAAAATGATTAAAAATTTTCATTGTGAAGTGTAGTGTATGATCATCATTTTTTTATTACTAGTATTTACAGAGGTTTATATACAGAAACTAAATTGTGAAATGACTCAGTTTCAAAGTATGTTACAATTGAATAAATTGTAAACACGTTCGGCCATATTAGTGGTTGGATGCCAATGAAAACATGGAACACGACTTTCAATGGTTCCATGCAAATGTTTTACGATGAAATCATTTGAAAATTGGAAGGTATATTCAATATTTTCTAATGATAGATATATACTAACAATACCTTCCGCCAATGAACAAATTTGGCGAATTTTATTCATTTCGATGACTTTCAGTGAATTTTCAAAGTGGATCAAAGTTTGATGTTCGATACACAAATCCACAATCAGAGCCATTATTTCGCAAAAAATGAAAAAAAAGTGAAAAAATTGATCCAAATGAAAAATTTTCAAAACATTCAAATTCATTTAAAAATCACCATTATTTCCACATGTCAGTATCATCGCCAGATTCATAATAAAAGGGTTCTGGCGGATTGACGTCTTCATTTGATGAATCCAAATCCTCATCATTGTATTGGTGATTGAATTCAAACCAAAATTCCAAACGAAAATTTCTGTGGTCGTGGTGGTCGTTCTGGTATTGAAAAAACATTTTTCAACTGATGAAAAAAAATTCAAATTCTTCCAGTTTTCGAAATGTTTTAAAAACTCGCGTCATATAAAACGTTACAATGTTTGATAAGATAACGATGAAAAAAAATTCATAAAGTTTATATAGAAAACATAATTGTTTATTTAAAAAAGAATGTAAACATAATTTTTCAATTGAAATTATTGAAAATTTTCATTGAATAAATGATAAACACGATTGGCCATATTTGTAGTTGGATGCCAATGAAAACACGGGACACGATTTTCAATGGTTCCTAGCAGATATTTTACAATCAGATCATTGGAAAATAGGAAGGTATATTGGATATTTTCTAATGATAAATATACACTGACAATACCTTCCGCCAATGAACTAATCTGACGGATTTTATTCATATCAATGACTTTCATTGGATTTTCTAGTGGATCATAGTTGGTTGTTTTAAAAACCAATCCACAATCTGAGCCATCATTTCGCCAGTTTTGTAATGGCAGTTCAGTGGCCAGGATATTATTAATATGTAAAAAATAAAAATCGCATTCGCTCCAGGAATACGATGAAGTTTCGCGACATAGTTCGCCATTATATTTGACGAAAACATCTACAATATCCCATTTTGTTTGATATTGTAATTTTTCCATTTTTGTTTGTAGGTTTTATTTGAGAGTTTTATTTGAGACTTTTATCGGAGAGTTGTTTGTGATAAGATAAAAAATGATTCAATAGTGATAAGTATAAAAAAAACAATTTATACTGATAAGTATAGTGAATCGATTGAAAAAAAGTAAACGAAAATATCGTTAAATTTATACAGAATAACATTGATTATTTTGATTTGGAAAACAATATGAAAAATTTCAAAATTTTAATTAATTTTGTAAATAAATAGATTTAAATTGGAATTACAAACAAACAAACAAACAGCAACAATATTCATCGCTTACAATTTGTTGATTTTAATTTTCGATGATCAATATCCACCACCACCACCAGGTGCAGCAAGACTAATTGGAGCAAAAAATGCCATTTGTGGACCACCACCA